ACTTCTAAGCTCATCACTTTACCATCTTCACTATGCCCACACTCTTGAACATCATAACAGCAGATATTAGAAGAGCTAAATTGCCACCACCTAAAATGAGACAGTCTGCCCCCCACAGTTATGGGCTAATGACTGACATGATCTGTCATCAGCAGAAAAAAAGCAGAGGCTACAATCCAATCTCCCCACGTGACAGCTGAGGCAGAAGAGACTGCAGATGGGCCTGGCCACCTGGTGATAGGTTGTGAATTCTCCTCAGGGAAGCCTATAGACAGAGTTAAAGAGCAGTGGGTCACAGTTAACAGCATACTTAATGGTGAAAGGCTAAGTTCCAGAACGAGACAAGGAAGTTGAGTCTCATCACTACTACTCAACATTGTACAAGAGATTCTTGTCAGGGCAATTAGGGAGAAAAGGGGAGGGACGGAGGATGGAGAGAGAGACAAAATGTACACAGCTTGGGAAAGAAAGAAGTAAAACTCTCTTCAAGATGACATGATCTTATAAATTGAAAATCCTAAGGAATCCACTAAAAACTACCAGAATTAATAAATGAGTTCCACAAAGTTGGGGGATATAAAATCAATATACAAAAATCAACTGCAGTCCTATATACTAGCAATGAACAATCTAAAATTGAAATTATTAAAACAATTACATTTGCACTTTCATGGAAAACAATAATACTATTGTAAACAAGTTTAACTAAAGATGTGTGAGAACTGTACCCTGAAAATATAAAATATTTTTGAATATTTTTGAAAGAAAGATCTAAATAAATGAAAAGATATACCATGTTCATAGATTAGAAGATTTAGCATTGTTAAAATGGTACTACAGCCTGAATTAATCTACATACTCAACTCAATCCCTATCAAAAATTCAATCTTGCTTTTTTAGAAGAAATTGACAAGCTGGTAATAACACTAATATGGAAATTCAAGACACCCAGAATTGTCAAAAATTTTGAAAAAGAAGCATACAGTCACATTTCCAATTTCAAAACTTATTACACAGGTGCAATAATTAATTGAGATAATGTGGTATTGGCCTAAGGACAGACAAATAGGTTAATGAAACGGAACTGAGTGTCCAGAAATAAATAAACTCTTACATTTATGGTCAATTGAATTTTGATGAGGGTATGAAGATAGTTCAATGGAGAAAATAGTCTTTTCAACAAATAGTGCCATAAAAACTGAATATTCATGCAAAAAAAATGAATTTGAACTCCTTACTTACATCATATACAAAAATTAATTCAAAGTGGATCCTAAACCTAAATTTAAGAGCTAACACTGTAAAATTCTTAGAAGAATTGACAGTATATCTCTATGACACTGGATTAAGCAATGGTTTCTTAGATACAACACAAAAGCACAAGTGACAAAGACAAAACCAGACAAATTGAACTACATCAAAAACTTTAATGCAGCAACTGCATCACTAATTAAATTTTTAAAAATCCACAGAAAGGGAGAAAATATTTGTAAATCATAGCATTTTATAAGGGACTGGTACTCAAATTATGTAAATAACTCTTAATACAATAATAAAAAGAAAATTAACCCAACTTTAAAAATGAGCAATGAATCTGAATAGAAATTTTTCCAAAGAATACATAAAAATTGCAAATAAGCACATGAAAAGATGTTCAACATCATTAGTCATTAGAGAAATACTAATTCAAACCACAAGGAAATACCGCTTCACACAAATAGGATGGATAAAATAACAAAGATGATAACAAGTGTTGGTGAGGATGTGGAGAATTAAGAGTCTTCATGCATTGCTGGTTGGCATGTGAAATGGTGCAACCACTTTGAAAAATATCACAGCAGTCCTTCAAAATGTTAAACCAGAGTTACCATATGATCCAATAATCCTACCAAAAAATGTGAAAACATATATCCACACAAAACCTGGTACACAAATGTTCATAGCAGCATTGTTCATAACAGCCAAAAAGTGAAAAGCCATCTATATGTCCATCAACTGATGGTTGTATAAATAAAATTGGATATACCCAAAATATGGAATACTATTTAGCAATAAAAAATAAAAGAAGTACTAATATAGCTACAACACAGGTGAATAATGAAAATATTCTGCTAAGTAAAAGAACAGAAATATCACATTTTGCATGATTTCATTTACACGTAAGTCCAGAATAGGCAAATATGTTGAAACAGGAAGTAAAAAACTTGCTTCCCAGGGTATACGGTTTCTTATTAAAATGATAAAAATACTTTAAACTTATATTGTGGGAATGACTGCACAAAAACTGTGAACATACTGAAAACCACCGAACAGTTTAATTCAAATGGGTGAAGGTTATGGTCTGAGAATTATATTGCTATAAAGATGTTTTTAAAAAGGAACCTGACATCTTCAAAAAAAAAAAAAAAAAACTTTCTAAGAAACAATAGGCCTTGGAGATAACATGGAGCTGAGTTTAACTACTAGCTCCCCCACAACCAGCTATGCGGTCTTCCATAATTTCCTCTACCATCTGAGCCTGGACAAATGGAAGGGGTTTTTTCTTTTTAAAAAAGTTTTATTTTATGTTAGAGTATAGCCGATTAACAATATTGTGATATTTTCAGGTGGACAGTGAAAGGATTCAGCCATATATTTCCTTATATCCATTCTCCTCCAGACTCCCCTCCCATTGAGGCTGGCATATAACATTGAGCAGAATTCCCTGTGCTTATATAGTAAATCTTCGGTTATCCATTTTAAATACAGCAGTGTGTACATGCCCATCCCAAGTTCCCTAACTATCCCTTCCCTTCCTATCCTCCCCCAACCTCCAGCAATCATAAGTTCATTCTCAAAGTCTGTGAATCTGTTTCTGTTTTGTAAATAAGTTCAGACAAATGGTAGTTTTCGGCATTCAAGAGGAAGGAATATAAGGAGAGATGGAACATGCAACCTCAGGGTTACAAAGTAGGCAGAGCCAAGGTGAGCGTCTGGGATGAAAGTAGCACATCCAAAACCATCATCTAGACTTTGACTCTTGGTCCCTGTCCATTTCCCAGAAGCAGGTGCCTTTCCTAAGTATCCCGCCCATGACATGCCCCGAGAGTCCTATTTTGCTGTGGGTATTGACCTCCACTCTTCCCGGAGGCTAGAGAAACATCACTCCCATCAGATAGCAACATGTGCTTCTCTCTTCATCTCCCACCTCTGGCTAAACTTACAGCATGAACAGAAGCACACTTCCGATAGTAACAGAACGGAGGGAACACAAGTAGGATGCTGACAATCAAATTCCCGGCCATTTTTAGCTTACACTGCTCATTTGGAAAGGTCATTTCCCTTCCAGGGCCTATAAGGCATTAGAGGCTTTGAGCTTTGCATTCTCAACAGTGTAATGAAAATAAATGTTGAATGCTGAAACATAAACGTATATATCATTCATAATGCATTCAGATGTTTTTCAATTATTCATGGTTCCTGAAAGTTATTTCACCTATCATGTATATATATCCAAGTAGTGCTTAAGTCAGAACCACAGTCTCAACGTACACAAATTCAGCTCCTCGGCATTCCCGTCTACGGAATTAAAATTAAATGAGTCAGTGGTCAATAAGAGTTACATGTGATTTCCATAAAATTACCCATTGTGTATCACCCTGGGGTTGAGAAAGGGGGCTGCATGAGATTGCCAGAGTCGACAGGATACAATATGCTCGCTTTCTGATGAAGCTGGTGGTGATGATTACTCTTCCCTAAGAATGAACTCATTTTTCTCCCCAAATAATTGGTGGTCTTTGACTTACTGTTTTCTACAGAAAAATAATTCAGACAGGCCACCCCCTTTCTCTTCTAAGTCTTGTTTCTTTAAAAAAAAAAAAGAAAGAAAGAAAGAAAGCTAACATTCTGGGCTCAAAAACACCACATTCTTCTGTATTGGTGCTTGAATAAATTTGCATGTTAACATGAATGGTTCCAACTTAAAGAATGTAAAATTAAATAAAATTTGAATTCGAATCCAAAATGGAGAAAAGACACATGTAAAAACAACAGATTGTCTATCTCGTTGATTTTTTTTCAGGAACCAGATTAGGAAAGACATAAACACACATACACACACACACACACACACACACACACTTGGTTTCAAAACAGCGTGGCATGCAGAGGAGACTGGCACTGCCAAGAGGAGTCTCCCCTGAACCCCCATCTCACAGGCACTGAGAGTGTTTATGGATCACAGTGTAGATTATGAAGCCCTGTTGCGATGTCTGAATGGCACCCAAAAACTCAGAAAATGACTCACAAGCCATGTTCACCATCACCTCCCTACTTTAGAGGCCCATCCAGAGAAAATGAAATGTGAGGAATGGTGTATGAGCAGCTCAGGCAAACACAGGCTCGAGTGTGCCTCTGCCAGCCCTAAGAGCCATGTCTCAATTCATCCTTGAATTGCAGTTAGATGCCCAGACTGTCAGAGACAGGCCTGGGTTGGAATCCCTGATCCATACCCACCATTCACTAGCTGAGTGACCTCCGGTCAGTGTCTTAATCTGTGCACATAACTTTTTTCATTAGCTTTCATTTACAGAAAAATTGTGCCAGCTTCATAAATTTATTGCAAGAATAAAATACGCTGAGAACAGTGTCTGGCCCGTACGAAGGACTTGGGAAGGGTTAGCTGTCACTGAGATGGTTGGTCTGGCAGTGGTTGCTATTGTTATTCACTGTATAGGTGATGAAGTCCAGAAGAACCAGGCCTGAAATGGCTTCTTGCTTTTCCAACCAGGTCTCCCATTTCATCCAGACACTACCACCCAGGAAAGAGATAAATCAAGTTGTGGCAGAAGCCTGCTCCCCACGAGCTCTGCCCTCAGGACAGTGAGGGATATTATCAAGCTTTCTTTCCATCCTGTCCCACCACTGTCAGCCCTTCTTGTCCATGAAGGCATTCCCAGTGAAATGACAACAGGATCTTAAGAAATAAACAGGATGGTGAGCACCAGGCGCCAGCATCTTACCTCATCCTCAGCCTCAGTCCCACTGGTTCCCAGTTTCTGGACCACTGACTTGTTGCTCTCCTTCAGCATTTTCTCACGAACTTTCGTTTCATACTCAGGCCGGGAATGCTCCTAAAACCCAGAGTCAAAGAGAGGTTAATACACAGGCAAGGGCAGCCTTGGCCTGCAAGGTAGAACCAGACACCACATGGACAGTGAGTCAGGACACGGGACCGGATGCTATGGGATGAGATCTGCCCCACCACTCACAACCACCACACGATACACAACTGCCACACTACACACAACTGCCACACCACAGGACCGCCATATCACACACAACCACCAGACCACCCACAACCACCATAACACATATGACCGCCACACTACACATGACTGCCACACCACATGCGACCACCACACCACACGACTGCCATACCACACACAACCACCACACCACACATGACCACCACTCTACACATGACCACCATACCACACGCAACCACCACACCACACACAACCACCACACCACATGCAACCGCCACACCACATGACCACCACACCACATGACTGCCATGCCACCCACAACCGCCATACCACACACAACCGCCACACCACATACAACCGCCACACTACACATAATCACTTCACCACACGTGACCACCACACCACACAACCGCCATACCACACACAACCACCACACCACACATGACCACCATTCTACACATGACCACCATACCACATGCAACCACCACACCACACACAACCACCACACCACATGACCACCATGCCACACACAACCGCCATACCACACACAACCGCCACACTACACATAACCACTTCACCACACGTGACCACTACACCACACAACCGCCATACCACACACAACTGCCACACCACATATGACCACCACACTACACACGACCACCATACCACATGCGACCAACACACCACACATGACTGCCACACCACACACGACCACTTCACCATACATGACCAACCACACACAACCACCACACCAATCACAACCAACTTACCACACACAACCACCATACTACTCAAAACCACCACACCACACGACTGCCACACCACACACAACCACCACACCACACGAGACCACTCCACCACACAAGACTGCCTCACCACATGCAACCACCCCACCACACACAACTGCCATACCACACACAACCATGAGGTGTCTAGACCAGGAAAACCAGGAACACAATGTGGCAGGAAAGGAGGACACATGACACTTGTTATCACACTGAAAACCAAACCTGAGCACGTTCCTGGGGGCAGTGCCGGTGTTGAGAAAAGAGAGAGGAAGCGTTAACAAGCAGCTGATACAGACAGCAGCCCTGAGCTGCACACAGCAGTGACCAGAGGCTGCCTCCAGTCACCCTACCATCTATCCTCAGCCTCCATTGTAAGTTTCAATAAGCCCAGTCCCAGCTGGAGAAACAGATGTGCCCCACAGCTGGATGTCAGGGCAAGGACCGAGTGTCTTCCTTGAATCACTCTTCCACAAGCTAAAAATGGCGGCCAATAAACATCAAAGCTAAAGGCAGCCACAGGGAATCTTAAAACTTATTGCCTGGACCTGTTTCCTGTTCAGTCTAGGTGAGTAACTCCCTGGCAAGTACACTGGTGTTCAGGAGACATCCCCGGGGCCACTCAGCAACACAAACCTGAACAGTGAGTCACCAGGCATGAGAAAGAGTGCCTGGCTCGTCAGAAAGACCACAGTCCCAACAACTCAGAGGCTGGGGCAGGAAGATGCATCACTGACTTCAAAGAGAACTTAACGGTGTAAGTTAAATGTCCTCCCTGCAGCTTTCAAGGATCAATATCCAGGATGTGAGGACTTCACATTCCTGCAACATTTACCGAGAACTCCCAGGCAGGGATCCCTGAGCTGGTTCTCAGCAGACTCAGAGAACACACATTCCCTTATCACTGCTCATGCCTCTGAGATTCCGAAAGCCAAAAAGCTAGGCTCCTGACCTGTCTCTGACTTTCCTGGGAAATGCCATGATGCTAGAGAGGAGAAACTACACGTGTGACTTATAAGAATAGCAAATATAAGAGAGAAGGACCCATTCCAGAATTCTGAGGGCTTCCCATCATCAACCAGTCTCCAGGATGCAGTCCACCCTGAGAGGTGGGACCTTCTCTGCCTGCTGAACCACAGGTGGCGGAGCCTCCATCCTCTCAATAACCTAGAGTTTTATAGCTTGTACGACATGTAGTTCTTGATCACATAGTTTTCTTTTATTATTTCCTAGATGTTCTGCATGTGAGAGTCTTTACATCCTAATATAAGGATCTGCTACCTGGTCTATACTATTTTGTGCTTCTCACAGTAATTAGCACCATAGGGAGCACACAGAAATCTCTAATTGTTTGTGAAGTTCACTCCGTTTGGTCTCTCCTCTTCATCCATCCTCCAACATAGCACTTCCTAATGTGTGTGCCAGGAGGGTTTGGGGTTAAAGAAGGATTCCAGGATCGAACCAATTGAAAAACTCCATACAATGTGTCACCTGAGAGTCACAATGAGCCTAATAAAAGCTCTGAAAAGGTTCTCCTGTAAAGACACCTGCTGAATATTCTTCAGCCCAGAAGGTCCCACAAAACTCCTTTCACTTCCAGCAGATAACATCCTGCAGAAATACTCTGAGAAATACAGTATGATCTTTTCCTCCATGGCCTCTGAAATCTGGTTGCTTTTTTTCTATATGATTGCTATGGAAGATTTTAAATATAAAATGATAGCTGGGTATTTCTGTTGAGTGCCAGAATCTGGATTCCAAAGTCCTTCAAGCAAGACTTGCTTTCACCCTGTCACCCACTACAGGGGAGCTTCAGGGCCTTCCCTTCTGATGAGAGGAGGTTCCTGACCAGTCCCTGATTTTCCAAAGATGTGACATCACATAGAGGCATGTCCCAGTTGTGGCTGTGGCCCCCCGCACCACACTCTGGGCCCCAGTTCAGACCTCCTTCATCTGTTTAGAAAAAACCATGAGCTCTTGGCACATAGACAGGAATCCAAGGCTCTGAAAGCAGAGTCTTAGGCTCCTCTGCTTTCCAACTGAAGCAAGGTCAGACAAGAATTTCCCTGCTTATAGTCAAGAAGGTCAAGTTAGGTCACAAGATTCCTCAAAGGCAGAGAACTGGACCAATGAGCCCCCAGCCAGAGTAGAATCTAGACCCCCATGAAGGTGGCTCTGACATATCCAGCCGTGGGCAGGTCATCATTAAACATAGCCTCCCTGGATGGGTGGTCGGATGCCAAGTCACCACAAATACATAACCCTCCCACAAAGCTCTGGGAAATACTTCACAAAGCTGCTTCCATCTGGTTGATCCCTCAGGAGCTGGCCTGAAGAAAAGGCCTAGGCCAGCAGGACCAGTCTTTGCTGATTTATAGACGTAAATCTGCAGATGCAATCAACAAAGCTCTCCATCCAAGAGCCATCAAGCATCTCCTGTGCTCTGAGCCCTTGGGAGCTCTTTCCAGGTTCTGAGGCTACATACAAGGTCCTTCTTCTCAAGAAGCTTATCCCCAAGTGAAGGAAGGTGACAGCAAGCAAACAAATCCACCAATAAGAAGCTGGCAGGTGGGGAATGAGAGCAGCAGGAGAAATGTCAGGCTGGCCACTTCAGAAGGGGGATTGAGGGAAGGTATGGATGTGAGAGTTGAACCATAAAGAAGGTTGAGCACCAGAGAATTGATGCCTTCAAACTGTGGTGCTGGATAAGACTCTTGAGAGCACCTTGGACTGCAAGGAGATCAAACCAGTCAATCCTGAAGGAAATCAATTCTGAATATTCATTGGAAGGACTGATGCTGAAGTTGAACCTCTAATACTATGACCACCTGATGCAAAGAGCTGACTCACTGGAAAAGACCTTGATGCTGGGAAAGATTTAGGGCAGGAGGAAAAGGGGATGACAGAGGATGAGATGGTTTGATGGCATCACCAACTTTATGGACATGAGTTTGAGCAAACTCTGGGAGATAATGGAGGACAGGGAAGCCTGGTGTGCTGCAGTTCATGGGGTTGCAAAGCGTTGGACATGACTTAGAGACTGGACAACAGCAACAGCCATAGGAAGGTAATGTTGGGACGGAAAAGCCAAGAAAGAATTAGGTCAGGCGGAGACTGGCACCTTCTAGGCAGCAGAAAGAGCCAGTGCAAAGCCTAGAAGGAGCCATGGAGAGAAGGCAGATGCAGTAGGCTGGAATTTCTGGAGGAGGAGAAGGCTGCCATGAGCTGGGCTCAGAGGGGGTTGTGTCTTATGTGATGGGAATCCATTAGGGACAGCCTGACATAGTAGATGTGGATGGGAGAAATGGAGGGGAGGACTCTATGACCAGATAAGGCCACTCTCTGAGGGATCCTAAGGACACCTGGGGCCTGAGGGCAGAAGCTAATTGGGCATGAGAGGCGGCCAAGATGAAGACCATCCCGCCTCAGAGCGAAGACTTGTGAGGTCTGGCAGGAGGCTCCTTCAACAGGCTCCAAAGGAGTACCTCAGGATGTCTCCGCTGGTTCCACAAGGAGGCCCCTCGGCCAGGGGCAGCTGACCCAGGAGGTGGGTTCTCCAACTTCCTTCCACTTTACCCTGCTCATTTCCATGGTGTCCCATGTGGAAGGGGCACCCCAAGGGGGAAGGACAAAGGGTGGATGTCTCTGGTCTCTGTGTGAGTTAGCACCCTCCCCTCCCGCATATTTCCTAATGAAGACCACAGGAAAGAAGGCTGTCTGGGGGCTCTGTCTGCACAGCTGCCTACAGGAGGATTCCTGAGACTTGGAGGTCAGAGAAACAGCTCTAACAACCTTCAAGGACCCCTGCGTCCCTCTCCCCAAAGCCCAGGTAGCATCTGCCATTCTCTTGCTCCTCATTTGAACATGGGTTAGGGCTTTCCTGGTGCCTCAGATGGTAAAGAATCTGCCCACAATGACAGAGACCAGAGTTTGACCCCTGGGTGGGGAAAAATCCCCTGGAGAAGGAAATGGAAACCCATTTCAGTATTCTTGTCTGGGAAATACCATGGACAGAAGAGGGGGGCTGGGGGGCTACAGCTCATGAGGTCACAAAGAGTTGGACACAACTGAGCAACTAACACTAAATCTGCCCCCAACACATATAAGTCCCAGGGAAGGTCGCAAATACCTGCCAATCCTGCCCTCCGTGCCTCCTCATGACCTAAGGAGACAGAGCAGCAATCAAGACTCTCCCTGACCTGGCCACCAGCATGCATTTGCTGCTCTGCCCCCTACTGCAGCCCGATCCCTTTTCCCTGCAGCCAACAACACTTCCCAGGTATCGCACTACCTCTGAGCCACACCTGAGCTTCCCCAGATCAACGGTCCTGTCGGCTGTTTCCTCCTATGGGTACCCATTCTTCCCTGTGCTGCTCATTAAAATTCAACCACTCTCCAAAACCTTGGTTTTGTGTTGTCGTTGTTTAGTTATGATCTGACAGACTGAAGCACACCAGGCTTCCCTGTCCTTCACTATCTCCGAGAGTTTGCTCAAATTCATGTCCGTTGAGTCGGTGACACCATCTAACCATCTCATCATCTGCCACCCTCTTCTCCTTCTGCCTTCAATCTATATTTTTTTTAAGCATTCTTTTAGGCCAGAAGTAATTTCTCTCAAACTCACTGTTGTATTCTAAATATTCAGAGACCAGAGAGCCCCTTAGCTGAATTCAGTCCTTTGAAGATGCTCGGAGACCATGTCTGTGGGAGTTCCACATCCCAAACCAAAACCTGGTCCATAGTAGTTGTTTGATGTGCATGTTCAGATTTAACTCAATTTGAAGTATGTTTAATATCTGAGTCCAAAAATCTAAATACCTGGAAGGAAAGACACAGCTGTCCCCCCTTCTCCCAATCATGCCTGCCCCCAGTCTGGTGCACAGGGGCATATAAACAATGCTGCAGAACTGACCCACCCCAGTAACCTCACACAGAGAGCCTGTCAGGACCAGCTCCTCATGCCAGGGTGGACCCAGGCTTAGTCAGGCCCCTCTCAGCCTGCACAGGAGTTCCTGAAGTCAGGCCCCTCCCAAGACTTGACCATGGCTCATTGGTTAAACAGCAAATAGGAAATCCGGCTAGAGAAACAAAAATGGATTAACATCTCACTCCTGCCAGGGGCCCAGGACTGAGATTTCCAGGGCACTGAGTCCTGATAGATGCCTTTCTCCATGTGAGTGTGTTTCCACATCCTCTCTACAGAGAGACTTGCTACTCGGAAGACACACTTGGCCTGTTTCTGGCCTCACAAAGGCTTAGGTGCCAAAACGCTTCTTCTTTTTCTTGGAGACCTCAGAGTCCTGGCCTTAGGAGAAGGGAGCTGTGCCCCCACCCTCTCCTCACATCCAGCTACAGCCCTCTCCTCTCTCTTCTCTCCTCTCTCCCTCTCTGTCTCTGGAATGAAATGGAACAGGACAAAATCACCCACACAGTCCAACTCTGACAGCTCTTTCCGTTGGAAGCACAACTTTGGCCACTTTCCCCCAAGAAATGCAATTGCCTTCATTATTCTGCGTTGCTTATCTTCTTAACTAATTTGTATCCACTCTGGAGGCAGAATCCATATGTACATTCTCTCATTTGCCACAGAATCTGCAATGCTATGAGTCCCCAGGGATACACTTAACGCAGAGGACTGGGGATAGAGTGAACACGTGAACTCAATCCATGGTCATCGAATGCCCACTTGCTCAAAGGCAAGCTGAATACCTGGAGCTTTAAGGAGAGGGGAGGATGCCATATCACAGACCAGGGAGCCACATAGACTTGGAAGCAAGACTAAATTGGGGATTTCACCTTGGACCAAAGCATCAGGGTCACAGAGCCAGGGGTCCCTAGCCTTCAAGGCAATAGACATCAATAAGTGATGGAGAATACAGAAAAGGTCAGCTTTACATGAGGCCACCATATGCTCACGGCCAGCCAGTCCATGGTACTCAAAATACTGGGGGTGCCTCCTGGACCTCTGGACACTGCCCCACCACCTCACTGACAATGCCCACGGCATCACGAGTGCCTAGCTAATATTCACTTTTGCTGTTCAGGCAATGGCAGCAAGTGGGAATAGGTAACTATGAGAAACTGTGCCCTCGCTGGTCATCGTCAACTTGCCAATATCATCAGGGGCCCAGTTCTCAAACGAGCCCCAAGGGCAGGTCAGTTACTTTCATCCTTTAGACAACATCTGTCCATAAAATTTGACTCTGAAAGAACCTACGCTTTCTCTTAGCTTATGTTCCAATGTCACACTTGCTGATAGGGTACTGGGTAAGCAGTTCTTCCCTTCTCCATACACATCAAAGGCACCTGGCACCCATGCCTCCACCTCACCCCCAGCAGGCTCCCAGGGGCATCCAGACATGTCCATATAACACGTCTGGGTCACTGCCTCTTGCTTCATGCTCTCAAGTACCAATGAGACGGGAGGTGGAAGAATGTTGAGTTGAACCTCAAGGCTATGGCAAGGCTTGCTTCTCGTGCCATTTTTTCCCACCAAGGGTCACAAGGACATCTGGCTACCCATCAAGTCTGAGGTCTTACAGGTCAAGAGGAGAGGATTTCAACTCTTGGCCTCAGTGCCTATCAACCCTGGCTTAGCCCATGGAGCCGAGCTAGGAAAGGGGTCACAGCAAGACTTGGCAGGTGATCAGCTGCCGTGAGAGCAAAGTTAAGTAGTTATTTCAATCAACATGATTTATTTTCAGGGACAAAGCAAAGTAGAAACCCAAAGAGAACTCACTTCTTCCTCTTCGATGCCAGTCAGGTCCCAGAAGTAGCCTAGTCGCATCTGTAATCGCTTCCAGTTTTCAAGAAACATGGTAGCTTGAAAAGAAAGAAAAAATTCTATTAATTTTGAAGAGTGGATTGCAAGCACCCTTAGGGTTCACCCAATGGAGGATACATACTGAATATTAGTCGCTCAGCTATGTCCAACTCTTTGTGACCCCATGGACAATAGCCTGACAGGCACCTCTGTCCATGGGATTTTCCAATTAAGAATACTGGAGTGGATACCATTCCCTTCTCCAGGGGATCTTCCCGACCCAAGGATCGAACTCAGGTTTTCTGCATTGCAGGCAGATTCTTTACCATCTGAGCCACCAGGGAAGCCCCATTTCTAGGTTATAAGAAAAGCTTAAACACTGATCTCAAGAATAAAGGAAGAACGGAAGCATTAAAAAAAAGTAAGAAATCGGAATGATAGCTTGTAGCCTTTTTAGACAAACCTCGTCTTCCCTACATGTTCTCTCTTCCTGCACCTTCCTCTCACTTTTTTTCCCATCTTTCTGTCCCCAGCACAACTTCCCTTTCCTGGGCCTGAATCATCTCATCCTGAGATTACATCACATCTCCTAATAATTATATCTGAGTCCAGGATCTCAGACTTCCACTTCATCCTGCAGGCAGCTGGGAGACGCAGCTCCCGGAAATAACATTCATTCATTCTTCAAGCAAATATCTGTTGAATGCCTACCATCCAGACACACCGGTCAGCTTGCCTGCTCCAACCACAGCCCTTGAAGGGCAGCCCAACATGCTCCAGAAAGAACCAATTCCCTCAGCCCTGAAGCCATGGCTTCTTTAGATCAGGATTGGACACCTTATCCTGCTGATGGGCCAATCAGATTCTCTCTTTTGAAAACTGAAACTAAGAGACACAAAGAGAAGCAGAAATGGGACAAACCATGCAGCATGTGAAAAAAGGAGAAAGGTTCCTTATAGTTCCTACTGCTCCAGTTCCCTACAGCGCCTGGCTGTATTTTATCTCCTGCATCCATGAGCTTGCTTCTTACTTTCTTATAATCCCTTGTTACTCGAGCATGTTTGAACGGATTTCCTAACCTGAAAAACCTGACCTAAGGTACCTGTGATAAACAAAACACTGCTCAAGACATCGTGAGGAGCTTAGGTGAATCTGATGTGGATTTTGCTCTCAACTGGTTTAGTCTATCAGGAGAGATTTTAAATAACTGCGGTACAAAGTATAAAGTGATCAGGGACTTACAAATAGCGCAGATAAGAGGCTGTGGGCATGCAGAAGAGGGGGTGCCAGCTGCCAGAGTATCTGAGCTGAGCCTTGAAGAGTAATGGCATTTGGGCAGCACAGAGGGGCAGGGAGAAGGAGGATGCCAACAACCCATCAAACTTGCAGTGGGTCCCTATTGTCAAGATTCTTCCCTCTGGATACAGAGAATGTGTGTATCTGGCCCATCCAGTCTGTCCTGATCTATTCCCACCATCTGTCAGCATACACCTCTTGTGTGCACTGCTGCTCAGGCGTCGCCTTATTTCCCTCTTCATCCCCAGTTTGTGCAAACTATCCCTGTCCCATCCACCCTCCAGTGCTGCCTCATCGTTTCCTGACCAGCTCAAGCACCATAAGATCAGATTCCCAGGCACCCACTCCTGGGCACTCCTACAGCCCTCAGGTCTGGTGCACTGGAAAGGGAAGAGACATGATAGTCCCTGAGGCCACCCCACCCCACTACATCACCCCCAGGAGCAGCCTGGGCGCCCTGCACTGCCTGCCACGCCAGACCATCGATTGCAACTCAGGTCTGCAGCGTAGAAGTAGAACTGCAAACTCTTCTTCAGCTGGGATGTGTCTCTGTTCACCTGGGGCACTGCACAGGCCTGAGCCCAGCAAACACTGAGAGCCTGACCAAGTGTGTGGTTCCTTAAAGCTACATATATTTCCCTTGGTGCTACACCGTGGTCCCCGGATCTGTATCTCCCTGGTGGTCCAGGGGTTAAGACTCTGCACTTCCAGTGCAGGGGGCACAGATTCCCTGGTCAGGGAATTAAGATCCCACATGCCTCACAGTGTGGGGGTGGGGGGAAATCTGTATCTTTGGTTCCTGGAATCTGAGACCTTTTCCTTTTGTGTGTGTGCACCCTGACCTCTGGACCTCAGCCACGGCTCGGGGATGCTCTCCAAACTGGTGGGACGCCTCTTCTTTCCCTGTGCTGTTCCCAGTGCCCAAGGAGGCTCTGCACACCAACTGTGGTCTCTGCACACCAAGTGTGGTCTCCACGAGAGAGAAGTCAGAACGGGAGCAGACGATGGGGTAAAAGACTCCCTGAGACTTAAGAGAACGAACATGGTTACCAGGGGGCAAGAATGAGGCAAAGGGATATTTAGGGGGTTTGGGATGGACACATACACGCTGCTGTATTTTAAATAGGTAACCAATAAAGACCTGCTGCACAACACAGGGAACTCTGCTTAAGGTGGTATGGCAGCCTGGAGGGGAGGTGAGTTTGGGGGAGAATGGATCCATGTATATGTGTGGCTGAGTGCCTCCACTGTTCACCTGAAACTACCACAAAATTGTTAATCGGCTATACCCCAATACGAAATTTTTAAAAGTCACTGAGGAGGACTCAGGGGGATATAAAGGACCCTCATGATGATGGAGAGCAGCTCCCAGCTCCCAGCGGGTATCACATGCCAGGTACCACGCCAACTGCCCTGCACGCACATCCTCTTCACAGTTGTGAGAACACAATGGGGTAGGTATGACTTCACTCACTTAAGAGATGAAGATGGAGTGCTCCAAGGTTGAGGACCAGCCTTCGTCCAGGTTACTCAGCACCTTGGCTGAGAGGACTCACTTCAGTGACACTGGGCAAGGCTCACGGTGATGGGTACAGAGCGGGACTGAGACCCACGTTTAGGACTGCCTGACCCTGAAGTTGCTGTCCTTAACCTCCTCCCTTCACCTCTCCCTTCCCAGATGGAGAGCAGCTCCCAGCTCCCAGCGGGTATCACATGCCAGGTACCACGCCAACTGCCCTGCACACACATCCACTTCACAGTTGTGAGAACACAATGGGGTAGGTATGACTTCACCCACTTAAGAGATGAAGATGGAGTGCTCCAAGGTGGAGGACCAGCCTCCGTCCAGGTTACTCAGCACCTTGGCTGAGAGGACTGACTTCAGTGACACTGGGCAAGGCTCATGGTGATGGGTACAGAGCGGGACTGAGACCCACGTTTAGGACTGCCTCACCCTGAAGTTGCTGTCCTTAACCTCCTCCCTTCACCTCTCCCTTCCCTACTTTCAATATGGCTTCGCTGTCTTTCCAAGTTCCCTGGAGCTTGAAGCCAGAACCCCAGAGGAGATGGGCCTGATGCCTCCACCAACTCTGGCTCTGGCTGACTCCTGCCCTCTGTACACCCCACCCCCAACCCCAGCTCAGTGACCCCCTACTCCTGCCCTCTGTATACCTGACCTCCCAACCCCAGCTCAGCGACCCCCTACTCCTGCCNACAGCACCACTGATCATAATAATCATGTAATGAGAGGCATAACTATTATTTTTAATTGCAATTTGTAGGCAGTCGTGCCCACAGGCTCTTGGCTGCTGTAACCAAATACACAATCACATGAAACACAGCAAGGCTGTTAAAATAACAAAACCAAACCCTAAGCCCGGGAGACTTACACAACCCCACTCGATTTGTTTTCCCGGTGCTGCTGCTACCGCGTGAGGGGAAGAGAGAGGAGACCGGGGGTGGGTGGGGGCGTGGGGGCATCATCACAGAACTCAGGAGGGATGGAGGTGTCTGTTCATCCACCGAGGAGAGAAGAGGGACAGCTGTTGGGGATTAAAAGTGGGAAGGGACAGCCCTGCCCCCATTTTAGGACCACGCAGAAATCTTGTGTTCTAAGTTCTGGTTCAAACACATTCTCCTTATTTGCAGCAAAATGAAGTATCTGGCATAGTAAGGAATTCAGAGACTGCCTTGTTTGAGGGTTTGGTGACAGAGTAACCTGGATGGGTCAGTGAGGAGGTCAGTGAGAGGTGGGTGATTCAGACAATGTCCTCCTTGCCTCTGCTTCCTTTTTTTTAAATTTTTCTTTATTTTGGCTGTGTTGGGTCTTCATTGCAACATACAGGCTCTCTAGCTGCAGCATGCAGGCTTAGCTGCCCCGAAGCTATGGGATCTTAGCTCCCCAATCAGGAATCGAACCAGCACCTCCTGCACAGCAAGGCAGATTCTTAACCACTGGACCACCAAGGAAGCCCCCAGCCTCCACTTCTGAGAGGATGCAGGAAGCCCAGATCTGCAAGGCCAGAAGTTCTCCATCTCTAACAGTCACAAAGCGCAGCTTGGACCCCAGAATCTTTTTTTTTTCCCAGCTCTGCCCACAATCTCATTTTCTTTACTGAGAAGTTCTCTTTTTTATTTCTTGGTGGTTTTGTTTGTTTACAAATAAAAACATCCACCTGAGGAGGGGGGGGGGAGAAAACAGGAAGTGGGAAGGTGCAGCTGAAAACCAAGTCTCCCGGTGACAGGGAATCACACATCCCAGGAAAGGCCGGAAGGGATGGCAGACCAGAGTAATTGAGTTTTAGCTTCTCAGTCAGTCGTATCTCTAAGACAGACTCATGGGAATTAGGGCTGCAACACAGCAAAAGGTGAAAGGGCATTTCATGCTCCAGTCAGTTCCAGCATATTTGAGGTCATTCCAAGAGGCCACTTTTTATTAACTTGTTACTCAGTAACTCAGTCATGTCCAACTCTTTGCCACTCCATGGACTGCAGCATGGCAGGCTTCCGTGGCCTTCACCACCTCCCAGAGCTTGCTCAAACTCAAGTCCATTGATTCGGTGATGCCATTCAACCAGCTCATTCTCTGTCATCCCCTTCTCCTCCTGCCTTCAATCTTTCCCAGGATCAGGGTCTTTTCCAATGAGTTAGCTCTTTGCATCATAGGAATAAAAATTCCTAGTATTTTTTATTAATACTAGAAATAAATCTGGGACTTTCCTGGTAGCTCAGCTGGTAAAGAATCTGCCTGCAATGCAGGAGACCCCTGTTCGATTCCTGGGTCAGGAAGCTCCCCTGGAGAAGGGATAGGCTACCCACTCCGGTATTCTTGCTTGGAAAATCCCCATGTACAGAGGAGCCTAGCAGGCTAGGCTCCACAGGTTTGCGAAGAGTTGGACACAACTGAGTGACTAAGCACAGCACAGCACACAGGAGTAAATCTACCAGTGACCCAGCAATCCCACTATGGGGCACATACTCTGAGAAAACCACAATTCTAAAAGCCACATGTACCCCAGTGTTCATTGCAGCACTGTACACAAAAGCCAGGACATGGAAACAACCTAAGTGTTCATGGACAGATGAATAGATAAAGAAGTTGTGGTGCATCTATGCGGTCGAATATTTCTTGGCCATAAAAAGGAACACATTTGAGTCAGCTGTTATGAGGTAGATAAACCTAGAGCCTTTTATGCCGAATAAAGTAAAGTCAGAAAGAGAAAAACAAGTATCATATATTAACACATACACATGGCATCTAGAAAAATGGTACAGATGAACCTAGTAGAGAATGGACTGTGGACACAGTGGGGGAAGGCGAGGGTGGGACAAACCGAGAGAGTAGCACTAACATTTACACACTACCATGTGCAAAACAGATAGCTAGAGGGAAGGTGCTGTATAACAGGGAGCTCAGCTCAGCACTCTGCGATGACCTAGAGCAGCGGAATTGGGCATGGGGGTGGTACGGAGTCTCAGGAGAGAAGGGAGATATATATATATAATTACGACTGATTTGCATTGTTGTACAGCAGAAACCAACACAAAATTGCAAAGCAATTTTCCATCAATTAAAAAATAAAGAGAATTTTTTTTAAAAAGTAACCCCCCAAAAGAGAAAAAAACCAAGATGCCGCTTTTGGACAAGAGGCACAGAGCCGCCTGAGACTGTGCAGGCCACAAGCTACAACTTCACTCTGTCCCCCTGACGCTTCCTGTGAACAATTCCAGAGCTACACGGCCACGAGTGCCGTGTCCCCTGACACCCTGCCGCTGTTTTGTGGGCTGACACTGCCACGTGGTCCTGGGCAGTGGCTGTTCTTCCTGGGAGAATAGAAGCTCCCCTGGATACCTTCCCTGGTGGCTGGGTCGCATGGGAATCTTTCCAGCCCAGTTCCATCTCCACCCACGTAGAGAGACAAAGGTCGCCGGGTCTGGGTCTAACAGCTGTTCTCGAAGAGACCTTCCTCTCCTGCACACAGTCCCAGGATGTGCGACTCACCGCCCCATCCTGGCAGGTCCTCCAAGCCCCCTGGAGTCAGCAGTAAACCTAACTGCTTCAGTTGCCAGTCTGTGACCCAAAAGATGAGGGCCCACTCTGTAAGGATGAGACGATGGCAGATGGCTGCTCCCAACAGGCTGACACAGGGCCCCCTGGTGCCTTCCGTGATACCCATGGGTATGTCTTCTTGGAAATGCTCAGTGACCACAGGGGTGGATATTCCAGTTTTTAAGAACAGAAGGGTGCATGTCTGCGTCTGTGTGTCTGTGTTTATGATCAGATGGCTGTGGCCCAGAGAAAGTTTATTACCCCAAGACTCTGGGCGGGGTGGTGGGGGAGAGAGGAGGAGGAAATCGAAGGAACTATTTGTTCCTTCCTTCACAAATCCCTTTGGTGGGAGGATGGAAAACATCTCTTTGGCATTAAGTGAAATCTCTGCAGTCTACACTTGCAGTGTCCTGGAAATTGCAACTGAACGCAGAGATAGGAGACGAGTCTAGGCCCGCCTTTGTCCCCAGCTAACCCTGTGACCGTAGCAGTCACCCACTGACTCCAGGTGTGACACCAAACGACATCTGGGACTTGCACATCTTAGGAGATGTACCTGGAGGTGCCTATGAGTGTATTAGGGGTTTTCAAAGCATGTATGGGTTCAATTTCTAAACAAACACATATATTTATATACATATATATATGCAAAATAAAACTATGGAGAATATTCTTAGTTCTAGTCCCATGTATGAGTAAGGGAGAGAAATCTATTGTCCCTAAAATGCTTCTTAAAATATGAGGACTAGGGACTTCCGTAGTGGCTCAGTAATAAAAAATCTGCCTGCCAGAGCAGGGGACGTGGGTTCAATGCCTGGTCTGAGAAGATCCCACATGACACAAAGCAAGTAGGTCCGTGCACCGCAACTACTAACCCCCTGCTCTAGAGCCCAGCAGATGCAAGCCCACGAGCCTGAGAGCTCATGCTCCACAACAAGAGAGTAGCCCCCGCTCACCACAGCTAGAGAAAAGCCCATGCAGCGACGAAGACCCAGAACAACCAAATAAATAAATAAAAATTGTGCTAAATATATAAGGATTAAATACTGAGGAAGTAAACCAAAGAATATTGGCTTTGGTCCCTGCACTCATCTAACGGTGTCCTATATGGAAGACAGCCTCATGGTGATGACTCACCCCACAGAGCCATGAAGATGGAGAAGAAGACGGTGGCGGGGTTGTCAAACAGGTGGCTGGCCCGCGCTGTCCCGCAGGCTGAGCTGAGGTTCCAGTAGTCACAGGACTTGTCGCACAGGGGACACATGGTGAAGGCATTCTGCTGGTCACACATCTCTTTGCTGCAGAAGACAGAGGCTGTTGAGTCACAGGGGCTCCAAGCAGGACCCCCCCCAAGTCCACCACCCCCAAAACACCTCCCACTTGGAAATCCCTGGCTGCCTCAGTAACTGCATCAACAAGGTATAGGAGAACTGGGCTTGGATTCTTCCCCTTGAGAGTATTGTTTTAGTATCTTGTCTTTAAAAATGGGTGGGCAGATGAATGGATAAAGAAGATGTGGTACATATGTACAATGGAATATTACTTGGCCATGAAAAGGAATAAAATTAGGTCATTTGTAGTGATGTGGATGGACCTGGAGTCAAGCACACAGAGCGAAGTAAGTCAGAAAGAAAAAAACAAACGTCCTATATTAACGCATATATTTATAGAGTCTAGAAAAATGATACGAATGAACCTATTTGCAGGGAAAGAATGAAGAGACAGACTTAGAGAATGTACTTGTGGGCCCGGGAGGGAAGGAGAGGGTGGGGCAAATGGACAGAGCAGCACGGACATATAGACACCACCCTGTATGAAGGAGATAACTAGTGGGAAGCTGCTGGATAGACAGGGAGCTCGGCTCCGTGCTCTGTGATGACCTAGAGGGGTGGGATGGGGAGGGGGCGCTGGAAGGGAGAAGCTCAAGAGGGAGGGGACATATGTCTACATACAGCTGATTCACGCTGCTGTACCGCGGAAACTAACACAACACGGTAAAGCAATTATACTCCAGTGAAAAAAATATTTTAAAAATGGATGGGCTACCTTCGGAGGTATGGAAGCCATCACTAGATGTGACTCAACGGAAAGTGAGTGACCACGTATCAGTTATGCTGTGCGTTGGATGGTGCCGTATAAAAGAGTGAAAATGCTAATTGCTCAGTTGTGTCCTGCTCTTTGCGACCCCGTGGACTGTAGCCCACCAGGCTCCTCTATCCATGGGGTTCTCCAGACAAGAATACTAGAGTGGGTAGCTATTCCCTTCTCCAGGGAATCTTCCCAATCCAGAAACTGAACCCAGGTCTCCCACATTGCAGGTGGATTCTTTACCATCTGAGCTACCAAGGAAGCACGGTGCTGTATAAAGTCCCATCCACATGTGCTATGGGGCTGATGGGAAGCATCAGCAATTATGAATAAATCACCCACCAGAGGTCAGAGTTTATCGTCCTCATTCAAGCATGAGCTATCTCATTCGTGTATTAGGATGGTCACATGGAAGAATCAACATGAGCATACCATTAGACCAGAACAAGGTCTTCCTCCCAGAAGGAGAAGTCATGTAAAGAAGAATGGAGTCAGAAGGGAGAAAGCCCAACTTCTAAGTGAATCAGCCATTCGACTGTTTGGAGAAGATGGATTAGTAACCTCAACTTAATAAGAATTATCCTAACCACAAAATGGGATGCGAGAGGCTGGAAGAATAAGATGTGTATTAATTGCTCAGTTGTGTCCGACTCTTTTCGATCTCATGGACCGCAGCCCTCCAGGTTCCTCTGGAATGGAACCTGGGCAAGAATTCTCCATGGAATTCTCCAGGCAAGAATACTGGAGTGGACTGTGCCATTCCCTTCTCCAGGAGATCTTCCCAACCTAGGGATCGAATCCAGGTCTCCTGCATTGCAAGCAGATTCTTTATCGTCTTAGCCACCAGGGAAATCCAGGGAAGCCACCAAGGAAGAATAAGGTAAATTCTCCCAAAGTCTAGATTCCAAGAATCCAAGAGAACAAAGCATGAGTCAAATGAACATCATCTCTATTCTCACTTATTTTCAGTATATTTCTCTTTACCGGACTCATGCATATATTTGAAATTCCATTCACTTGTTAGGTGGATCAGCTGGACTCAATAACTTCAGGCTCATCGGGTGCTTGCAAATAAGAACCGAGGATTTCTCAGCCCCAACTGGTTTCCCCAATAACCCTCCACACTGCAGTCCAGTAGGAAAATGAATGAACTCATCACTCTGGTGTGTGATATTTCCCCTCGGGGATGAGTAGATGGCTCAGCTCATCACTTGGGGGAAGAGGGTGGAGAACTAGCGATTTCACGAAAATGAAGCACTGGCTGTTCTCACAAAGCAGCTGGAGGAGACCAGACCCCATGATGGGGAGGCAGGGATCACAGGCCGAAACCACAGCTGGGTTTTCTCCAGAAAGAGGCAGCAGAGGGCGCTACCGAGCATGGTACAGCCGGCTGAGGGATCTGGTACCCGGATGCCTGAGCCAAGGGCTTAGATGAAACCCAGAAGTCGGCTGGATGCTTATGTCTAGCTCCCATCGCTAAGCAGTCAAAAGGTTTCACCAAGGGCTGTCGGCGTCTGTCAAGTCCCAGCTCTCAGGCTCGTTTTTAATGAGCCTCGGCAGGGAAGTCCTTCTGTGTGAGAGAATGGAAACTCTGGGTCTCAGGATAAATCCCAGCTCCTCCACGGACTTGCTGCTGAGCACTCCACTGGCAAGTATCAAGACTGGTGACTCACTCACGACAACAATATTAAATAGTAATTTCTTAATAGTAAGTTCAGCCATGCTGACTTCACCTGGGCATGTGTTTATTGGTAACTGGAGAGCAGGACTGAAGTCTTCTGGGCCAGACACGTGATGGCTGCCTGGTAGAGGAGCTGGTGCTTTTAGGAGGAGAGTACCGATTAGAAAACAGATTCATACAGAAAAGTTGTCAGTTTGCACAAAGTCCAGCAAACAGCTTTGCTTCTGAGCCATATCTGTTCTGTCACTAAGTCGAGTCCGACTCTATGCGACCCCATGGACTGCAGCATGCCAGGCTTCCCTATACTTCACTACCATCCAGAATTTGCTCAAATTCATCACCAACCAACCATCTCACCCTCTGTTGCTCCCTTCTCCCCCTGCCTTCACTCTTTCCCAGCATCAAGGTCTTTTCCAATGAGTTGGCTCTTCGATTTGGTGGTCAATATAGTGGAGCTTCAGCTTCAGCATCAGTCCTTCCAATGAACATTCAGGGTTGATTTCCTTTAGGATTGACTGGCTTGATCTTGCTGTCCAAGGGACTCTCAAGAGTCTTCTTCATCACCACAGTTCAAAAACATCAACTCTTGGGTGTTCAGCCACCTTTATGGTCCAACTCACACCCATATACGACTACCGGAAAAACCATGGCAGTGGCAGTTTAGTCCCTAAATCATGTCTGACTCTTGTGACCCTATGGACTGTAGCCTGCTAGGCTCCTCTGTCCATGGGATTCTCCAGGCGGGAATACTGGAGAGAGTTGCCATTTCCTTCTCCAGGGGATCTTCCTGACCCAGGAATTGAACCCAGGTCTCTTGCATTGCAGGCAGATTCTTTACGGACTGAGCTATGAGGGAAGCCCTCAGGACAAACCATAGCTGCTACTATACAGACCTTTGTCTGCAAAGTGATATCTCTGCTTTTTAATACACTGTCTAGGTTTGTCACAATTTTTCTTCTAAGGAGCAAGTGTCTTTTATTTTCATGACTACAGTCACTATCACAGTGATTTTGGCGCTCAAGAAAATAAAATCTGCCACTGCTTCTCAAATCTTTGTCATGGAGGAGATTTTTTACTTATATACAAGGAGATGGATAATCCTAGAAAGCCTAATCTCAGTCAGAACTAGTCCATGCTAAAAGGTCAGGGGAAAAAAATATTAGCACCACCTTGGTACAGAGTACTTTGAAATGTGAATGCTGTGTACATAAATGGTTTTAAAATTAGAATACAGTCAACTGACAATCATTTGTACAAAATGGCAGCCATGCTAGCATGGATAGTCCCACATCATTTAGGTTTGAAGTCGGAATGCTCTGTATGTATTGGGTTGGTGATTTTTTGTTGCATCTTTTGAGTTTTTGATGCAAGCAACTGGAAGAAGATTCTGGAGAAATTCTGCCTTAGGATGACATTAAAGGACTTTGTAGTCTCTGAGACAAGCTGAAAGAGGGGGAGGCACCCCGAGAACTAAAGTCAGGTCTGGGTCATTCACTAGCTGCATCATCCACAGATTCTTAGTTAGAAGCCACAGTGGCTATAAATCCAATGACGTGTTTCTTCAATCTATCATGTTCTCTCGGACACAGAAGAAGGTTGATGAATGGCTTGACCATCAGGTGAACCAAGACCCCGGAGTGGGTGGTGTTCTCAATGAGTGACCCACCGCTCACAAGTCCAGTGACATACAGGGCTCTACTAGCCACAAAGGGAGGCAATTATTCAAGAAATTCAGACAGAACATCTGCTATTAAGATCTCAGCTCTAAAGTAACCAGTTTTTTTTAAATGTGGTTTAGATTAATCACCTTAAAAAAAAAAAAAAAGCTCCAGCCTTTCCCATGCATGTTAGCAAATGGAGAACAAACGGTACCAACCCCTTGCTAAGCAGACGAAGGTTCTCTAGACATATCTCGCACATATGGAAATACTATTAAGTGAAGCATGTGACTCACATATCAAAGTTATTGGCGATAAAAGGTACCATTTAAAGTTTCACGCAATGTAACTTTTCTGGTTTTGATGCTGGATGTGGCTTTATAAGACATAATCATTGGGGGAAACTGGATGAAGGGTACATTGGGCCCCTCTGCACTATCTTTACTGCTTCCGGTGAATCTGTATGGTTTTTAAAGCAAAACACTTTTTTAAAAAGTGATACACCGATACTAAATTCCAGGCCTGATGCCCCAAGTGGAGACCTTTAAAATAATCCCAGGAAGGGTGAAAGTTTATCTTTCAGGAGTGGCTGGGAGGACAGTGGCCTGGAGTCCTGCAGTTCATGGGTCCACAAAGAATCGGACATGACTTGGCAACTGAACAACAAAACAACAAAGAGTGACTGATAGACACAAACCCTCGAAGGGTACGAATTTGTCTGGATTCTGTATTGGGATTTAGAGGCTGTTCTTTTATTGACAAAGAGTGGTATCAATTGTTTGTGAGTGTTCATCGGGCATAGAGCTTGGACTTTTGATAGATATACAATTATGACTGAGGAGCAGTTCTCAAAAACTACATAATATGCTTGACTTTTTCTATTTACACCTTCCGGGTTGGCCATACCTTATTCTGAGTATGAAAAACTGAGAATCAAAATTTCAAATTTTACAGCAGCCAATTTTACACATTTTCATTTTGGAAAGTTAAAAAAGTTCAAGAAATTTTACAACAGACCACACTATGCAAATATAGACATATACTCTATCCATAAACACACTTATATCACTAAATTAAATGTCACGAAACAATTCTGATACTTCCTTCTCATGATGAATGCTAAAATTATATTTCATTCTACTCTATCTTATCTTATTCTTCGTTGTTTGGCCACTCAGTCATATCTGGCGACTCTGTGACTCCGCAGACTGTATCACTCCAGGCTTCCCTGTCCCTCACTAACTCCCGGAGTTTGCCAAACTCATGTCCATTGAGTCGATGACGCCATCCAATCATCTGATCCTTTGTCACCCCCTTCTCCTCCTGCTCTCAATCTTTCCCAGCACGAGGGTCTTTCCCAGCGAATCACCTCTTCATATCAGGTGGCCAAAGTACTGGAACTTCAGCTTCAGCATCAGTCCTTCCAATGAATATTCAGGGTTGATTTCCTTTAGTCTTATTCTACTGCATTTTTAAAACTACTTATTTATTTACTTGACTGCACCAGATCACAGTTGTGGCACACAGGATCTTTTAGTTGCCATATTTGAACTCTTACTTGGAACATGTAGGACCTAGTTCCCAAGTCAGGGATCAAATCCAGTCCCCCTGTATTGGGAGACTGGAGTCTGAGCCATTGGATCACCACGGAAGACCCTTATTCTAGTTCATTTAAAAGATAACCATTAAATTGATTCTATAATCCACTAGTGGACTGCTATCCATAGTTTATAAAACATCACACACTTGACAGGCATTGTGATGTATCTGCAATGATGATGATCTCATTGTACAAGCATGTACACCTACACACATACGAGAGCCCACACGTGTGCGCAGGTACACACCTTTGCAGCATGTGTAGACCATGGTCCCTTCCAGCTGCCATGGCCACTATCACATGCGTTCCCATGTGGGGAACCAGGGCACAAGTCCCAAGTCCTGATCAACCAGCACATGGACTCCCTACCCGCCACACTGTTGGTCCTCAGTGCAGGGGACGAGTCCTCCAGTCTGGATCAACCTGAGAGCCCAATCTCCAACAATCATAATGGGGCAACAGAGCTGTGTTCTCTAAGAAGGCACCAGGAAGGGCCGTGGAGCTCCTGGGCTACCAAGGAGGGTCAGAACCCTGGGGAAGATGCCACAGATTACTGGGGAAAGCAAAGACTTTGGAGCAGGAGGCATGTGCCTGCATGCTCAGTTGCTTAATCACGTCCGACTCTTTTCAACCCCATGGACTGTAGCCCGCCAGGCTCCTCTGTCCATGGAATTTCTCAGGCAAGAACACTGGAGTATGTAACCATTTCCTACTCCAGGGGATCTTCCTGATCCAGAGATGAAATTGCATTTCTTGAGTCTCCTGCATTGGCAGGCGGGTTCTGTACCACTGAGTCACCTGAAGAGCCAGGAGGCAACAGAGGTCAAATCTCAACCATGGTGGACTTCCCTGGTAGTTCAGTGGTTGAGACTCCACACTTTCACTACAGGGGCTGAGGGTTCAATCCCTGGTCAAGGAACTAAGATTCCACATGCCAAGGGGCATGGGTGAAAAATAAATAAATAAAACATCAGTGTGATTTCACTGATCTGGGTTAGAACCAGGGGCAAATTAAAAAAAAATCCCAACCCTGACAACTATTACTTGCCTGAAGCTGGAGAAGTTAGGTGACCCTGCCTCTCCATGGAGACCATGTCTCCATCTCTCTGAGGTGAGAATAAGAACACCTATCGCTGACAACATTGATCGCTTCAAGACGGAAGACACAGCACATAAAAACCATCCAGCATTGGTACAACTCACACTAGGAATGCAGTGTGTATTCCTTCTTCCTTTGGACTCCCCAAGTGGTGCAGTGGTAAAGAATCTGCCTGCCAGTGCAGGAGACATGGGTTTCATCCCTGGGTCAGAAAGATTCCCTGGAGTAGGAAATGGCAACCCACTCCAGTATTCTTGCCTGGAGAATTCCATGGACAGAGGAGTCTGCTGGGTTACAGTCCATGGGGTGGCAAAGAGTCAGATATGACTGAGCACGTGTGTGCGCACACACACACACACACACACCCCTTCTTCCTTTATGCTATGGATGGAAGAGCCCTGAAAACATAGCTCAAAGGTCCCAGAACTCCAGTAAAGAATCCTGGATGGATGATGACAAGGTTCTATACACAAAAAAATATTCAAATCCTTGTGCTTATACCAAGGTATTTAGCTTTATTCTAACTACATACATGTCATCGCCAGTTTCACTAATTCACAAGAGCTTTTCTATAGAGTGACACAGAGGCCAGAGCCACCTGGTTCTTACCACTTATCATGCTATCCTCAAACAGCCCAGTTCTCCCCATTTCTTCAGGATGGTCCTGACTTCCCCATCACCACCCCCCACTGCAGTGGACACCTGCAGGCTTCCCAGTGCCCCCACCCGCAGGCTATTGAAGGAGAATCCTTGCGGCACAGTGTCACCCTGCCCCCCTCCAACCCCCCCAGGCATGATTGGCTGGTCAACAGCCTCCACTTAGGCCAAAAGGAGTCGACAGGACTTTTTTACTTGGGATCAATCACATATAAAGCTCTTAAAATGTGACACCCCGTGAGCTACTAGTAGCAACATTCATATCCTATGGAGAAACTCTGTAGTGAAACAAGAAATACTTGAAAGAATCAGAGACAGCCAGTAAATAGAAGGAATCCCTATTTCCACGGTCCTTTGGGCAAACCATGTGCCAGCCACTGGATCCACTGAAGCCTCCCCACCGAACCCCGAGGATAAATTCCTGTTTTTGCTTAAGCTAGTTTCCATGCATTTCTATCACTTACAACTGCAAGAGTATTAAAATACACAAATGACGCTTCAGTTTGCCAGGACAGTTCTGGAGGTGCCAAGAGCTTTAAATTCTAAACATTGGCTAAGTGTCTCTTCTGTCCCCTGTACTCTATTTCTGCCTATGTTGGTTCATTCAAGAATTGTTTATGAAAAAAAAAAATTAAAAAAAAAAAAAAAGAATTGTTTATGAATACTTTGCTGGGTGCCAGACACTGTCTCCTTTAATCCTCAGGATACCACCATGAGGCAGGTGTTAGTATTGCCATTTGACAGCCGAGGAAATGGAAAGTCAGGGAGCAAGGTACCCCGTTTCACAGCTAATATGTAAAACAGTCCACCCTAAAGGATGTTCTTTTGTTGAGTGTCTGTTTTTTTGTAGGATCTCTATTCCTCATCAGGACCAGCCTTTGTTCCATCTCTTGGATCTTCAAGAGCCCCTGTCACCATTTTTTTGTAGGATCTCTACTCCTCATCAGGACCAGCCTTTGTTCCATCTCTTGGATCTTCAAGAGCCCCCTGTCACCTCCTGCAGCCTCTGACTCCCAGAGCCAGGGCTGAGTTGTCCTCAGCTCATAGCATTTTATTACAGCAGTAGCTGACCACACAGATGCCATCCCTACCCAATGCCACTCGACACTTGGTATGTCTGGGAAATGAGAGAAAAATGCCACAAAATTGAGGGGGAAAAAACTTTTACCAGGCATAGTTTCTTGTCTCACCAGTTATCTTCTACCTGCCCAATCAGGCCCTGGTCCTGGAGAAGAGTTTGACCAGGAAAGGAAGTGGCCACACTCAGCGTGACTCTGAGCCGTTCTCAGAATCCGATGCTCCCCGCTCTCTCAGGGGAGAAGGAAGGGAAGTGGGAAGGAGGACACAGGGTGGGGTTCTGGAAGGATTCGTGTGAAATGTACGATGTCCTTGCAACTGGGATGACACTCTGAACGACTGACATGTGGGAACTGAGCCTTTGCCTTTAAAATCAGCTCACCTGGGAATATCTTCTTCTATGGTTGCACATCCATAAAGAAACACGATGATCCCAATGACAGACGACGGGATGAGGAAGGATGTATATAATCCCAGCCAGGCAAAATACAGTCCAATCTTTTCTCCAAAATACTTTCTGGAGAAAGAAGAAAATGAAACATACGTTAAGAAGATCATAGACTTTCCTTCTCTCTGTTTGCTATAAACCTGACGATGGGGCGGCACAAATGGAAAGGGACGGAAGTTATCTGGGGAAGGTGGGGGGACCTCAGCACAGGGAATCAACAATTGGTGTTTTCTGAAATGAATCGCATTCCATTAGAATCACATATGCACACCTGTTTGTGGAAAGAAGTTGCAAGAAGGAATCCAGCCCTAACGGCAAACTGAGAATATGCCATAAATCGTGGCATCTTTACCAGACACCCGTGAATAACATATTAGCATTTCATGAGTGCCATAGCACTCAACCCACAGAAAAACACACCGTTTTGACGATTTAAATAAAACACACAAATTTGGGGGCATACACACTGATGTATGGGCTTCCCTGGTGGTTCAGACGGTAAAGAATCTGCCTGCAATGAAGGAGACCTGGGTTCGATCCCTAGGTTGGGAAGATCCTCTGGAGAAGGGCATGGCAACCCACTCCAGTATTCTTGCCTGGAGAATTCCAAGGACAGAGGAGCCTACTGGCCTTCAGTCCATGGGGGTCACAAAGAGTCAAATATGACTGAGCAACTAACACACACAAACACACACACACACACACTGATGTATACAAACCAATATAAATACAGTCACAGAAAAAGAACTAGAAGAAATTAGATAAAATACAGGTCATGGTTTCTTTAGCAGATGGGTGGTTTCTATTGCTTTATTTTTTTATGTTTCTGCATTTTAAACTCTATTTTTTCATGAATTCCTTTTTATAATAAAAAGTGGTTTCTTTTCAAAAGAAAAGGTACCATCCATATCCTTTTGTTCCCCAGATCATACAGTTAATAAATGACCACAATCAGTCTCTAAAAAGGGGTTTTCCCTTAGATGAGTATTGATTATGGATGATCGATGAGAAAAACACAATCCACAGAGAAGAAGTATATTTTATTTCTCAGGAGCCTCTGACATAAACCACAGAGGGAAATAGGAGCTCAGCTCACCTTTTGGTATAAAGACTAGAGAGTAAGGAGAACAAATAAAACTTATTAATCGACCACCAGAGCACTGCTTCCACTTAGGATGTAGACAACTGCCAGGAAATGTAGGTTTCATCCTAACAATAAAAGAAAGCTAGATAACCTGTGAATCAAACTTTTCATAAGCCCATCAGACAGTAGAAGTTGCAAGGTAATCAGATGAGCCACACTTTTTTTAAAATGACCAGCTCCTCCAAGGAAAAATGGACTCACAACAGTTTTGTTGGCATGAGACAAAAAGGCAGTCACCATAAAAGTGAGTAAGAAGAAACAGCTAAAAATTTTTAAGACACTGGAAGATGAGCAAAGGTCAGCATACAGACTGAATAACTGGGCACTCCAGACTCAAGAGGAGGTTGTACTCATTCACAAGATCCATGGGAAGACCAGCAGGCTTCTCATGAGAAGGACTGTAGACAACACAGGAGCCAGAGAGAGCCCCCTAGATGCACACAGGCAAGAAAGCTCACCCATCTCCCTGAACCATCTTTCTTTTAAACCAAAAGCCTCAAGCAGAGGGTAACAAAAATCAGCAGTCTGATGCTGGGGAAGGGCAGGAGAGAGATCCCCCCCATGGGGCAAAGGGCTGAAAGGGAAGCATGAGGACCAATTTCCAGTGCCCTACAATAGATGTGAAAGTTGGACCATAAAGAAGGCTGAGCGCCGAAGAACTCATGCTTTCAAACTGGGATGCCGGAGAAGACTCTTGAGAGTCCCTTGGACAGCAAGGAGATCCAACCAGTAAATCCTAAGGGAAATCAACCCTAACTATTTCATTAGAAGGGCTGATGCTGAAGTTGAAGCTCCAATACTCTGGCCACCTGATATGAAGAGCCAACCCCTTGTAAAAGACCTGACTCGTGCTGAGAAAGATTGAGGGCAAGAGGAGAAGGGGGCGACAGAGGATGAGGTGGTTAGATAGCATCACTGACTCAATGGACATGAGTTGGAGCAAACTCAGGGAGATAGTGAAGGACAGGGAGGCTGGCATGCTGCAGTTCACGGGGTCGCAGAGAGTCGGACATGACTTGGTGACTGAACACCGACAACAACCGCCAGGAAGCACAGTCACAGCATCCCACCACCAAGGAATCTGAAGCCCGTGGTGCACAAGTGACTCAAGCAACAACGGCACCCAAAGCCACCTCCACCTCTGACAGACCGACCCCGCTCCCCCACTAAAGGCCTGACAGAGAGGCAGAAGCCTGTTTCCGGGCATAAATACCATTTACTTAGTCTCCACTGTCCTTTCAAACACAGTGTTCGGAATTGAGGAAAAAAAAATCTTGAGCAGGACTTCCCTGGTGGTTCTGCCATTAAGTCTTCACATTCCCAATGCAGAGGGCTTGGGTTCGATCCCTGGTCAGGGAACTAGAGCACACATGCTGCAACTAAGAGCTGGAGCAGCCAAATAAATAAAAATAGATGAATGTTTAAAAAAAAAAAAAAGCTTGAGAAACATAAAAAGTTAACTGTTAAGAAATGAGGAAATCAATAAAACCAAAGTTGATCTAGATGCCACAATTATCATACAGGGGTTTTTTTTTCTCTCTCTCTCTTTTTTTTTTTTTGATGTGAACCATTTTTAAGTTAAGTTTAAAGCTTTATTGTATTTGTGACAATATTGCTTCTGTTGTATGTTTTGATTTTTTAGCCATGAAAGCTGTGGGATCTTAAGTCCCCAACCAGAGATTGAACCCACACCCCCTGCAAGGGAAGGTGAACTCTTAACCACTGGATCACCAGGGATGTCCCATACAGGAACTTTAAAGTAATTACAATAATACATTAAGGAAGAATCTAATACAAAACAGAAAATTGGGAATTTCCACAGAGAGACAGAAACGCAAGAGTGTAACATGGAAATACTAGAGCAAAAATATTTTATCAAATATGAAAAATGTCTTCATCAGAATGTCTTAGCAGGTGACTGAATGCAGCTGAGGAAAGGCTCAATAAACTTGCATACAAGTCAATGAATACTATCCAAACTAAGATACAAAGAATAAAGAAGAAAATAGAATCTGTAAATCAAGGGCTACAGGCAGTATCAAAGAAGGTATCATACATGTAACTGAAGTCCCAGAGGAGTAAGAGAAACAGGACAAAAGGAATATCTCCATGGATTATGATTAAGAATTTTCCAAAATTAATCAAAAATAACAAAACAGATCTAAGAATTCTAAGGAACCCCAAGCAGAACAGGTCAAAAAGTAAAAATAAAATCTCACACACTTAGACACATCATAATCAAACTTCTGAAAAGCAAAAGATAGGAAGAAAGAAACCTTTAAGTTGGAGAGGTAGTGCATGCGTGCTAAGTAGCTTCTGTCATGTCCAACTCTTTGCAACCCTACAGATTGTAGCCCACCAGGCTCCTCTGTCCATGGAGATTCTCCAGGCAAGAATACTGGAGTGGGTTGACATGCCCTCCTCCAGGGGATCTTCCTGACCCAGGGACTGAACCCATGTATCCTGTGGCTCCTGCATTGCAGGCAGATTCTTTCCTGCTGAGCCAGGAGGGAAGAATGCTGCAGTGGTAGGAGTGGGAGGAACGAGGAAAGGAGGGTATCAGGTACAAAGGAACGAAGGTGCGATTTATACACAATTTCTTGGCAGAAATTATGCAAGCCATAAGATAAGAAAGTGGCAACTTTAAAGTATGGAATGAAAAAAAAAAACAGTCAATCCAGAATACTATACAGAAAGAAAGTGGCTTTCAAAAATGAGACAAAATAAAAACTATTTCAGCAAGCAAAAGCTGAGGGAATTCACTGCCAACAGACCTGAACAACCAGAAATGTGAAAGGAAGTTCTTTAGTTAAAAATCTAGATATACAGATCTTTCATGTGAGAGTACCAGAAATAGTGAAAAATAATGGTAAATATAAAGACATTTTTCTTATTTTTTATCTTTTTAAAAGGTAATTCACTGTCTAAAATATCATTCTCAATGGGGGCAAAACTGTCCCCAAGGGAACAAAATTAGTTCTTTGGAAGCCAAAAACTATCTTAGTTATTACAGTTATTTTTAAGGCTTCCAGAAGGCCAAAGAACATAAACTGATGTATAGTACATCTGTAGTGTTTTAACTGTGAAGAGGAAATTCAGGAAAAAAAAAAATAATGGCTACAAAGTGCCTTAGGAAAGAAACAATGGGGAAAAAAGTTTGAGAAACACAGGCAGAAAACAAAACCAGTTACAACATATTGTGGTGTTCACAATAGACATTAAAGTGAAATGTATGCAGTAGTAGCACAAAATCTAGGAAGGAGGAAATGGAGGGAGGAAACTGAGGTATGCTGTTGTAAGGTTCTTATGCTCTATGTGAAGTAGTATAATATTATTTGAAAGCAAAATATGATACATTAATGTATTTTGTAAACCCTGGAGCAAGCACTAAGTTTTTTAAATGGCTGATACTGGAGATAAAGTGGAATGATAAGATTTCAAAAGAGGGCATGAGAAGAGGAAAAACAGGAACAAAGAACAGACAGAACAAGTAGAAACAAATAGTGATATGGTAGATTTAAAATACAAATACATAAATGATTACATTAAATATAAATGTATAAGAAACCCACATGAAATATAAAGGCATTTACAGAATGAAAGCGAAGGAATGGAAAAAGACATACCATGCCAATACTAATGAAAAGAAGGCTGAGGTATAAAAGGGATGACCAAATAATCATAAAGTGATCAATTCATTAAGAAGACCAAATAATCCTAAATATTGATGCATACAGTAAAATACCTATGTCAAATGCATACATCAAAATACACGCAATTAAAACTGATAAAACTAAGGATTTCCCTGGTGGTCCAGTGATTAAGACTTCACCTTTCAATGCAGGGGCTGCAGATTCCATCTTTGCTCAGGGAGCTAAGATTCCCTATGCCTCTCAGCCAAAAACCCAAAACAAAAAAACAGAAG